TTTTCTTAATCCAATGCTATGAAAGTTAAAAAATTTGATATCTTGAATTTCGATAAAAATGTGTTGTAGCAATGTCATACTTTAGACTGATAAAACTGAATTACATATTTTATAAAAAGTTTTATTACGCTCATTCTATTGAAATACACAATTATTAACATTGAGTTGTTATAAAATAGTCAATAATTTTTTAACTCGAAATGTAGTTAGGATGAGGGCAAGGATTAGTTATTAATTACTAAAAAAAATAAAGTTGTTATATATACTGTAACGATCAATATTGATATACAACATAATATTTTTGCTATGAGATTTGTTATTTTCGTATAATTTAGAATTTTTGGTAGGAGAGCAAGTTCGATTGTTCGTGTTTAAAAAGTAGACTATTATTTTCATCTTCGTATTACATTGCGAAAATGACTACTCATGATATTATTCACGCAGCACGATATTAATTTGTATGAGTATTGAATTTTGTATATAACATTCAAAAAAGTTTTTTATGATATAAGGAAAAGAAAATCTGTCGATAGAATTTATTATTTTCTACAATTTTTGTCGTGTATCTTGTGTTATAATGTCAGGTGTTTTCCTTGATTAAATCCAAATTATCTTTACTGCTACTCTGTTCAAAACCCGTTCTCGATTTCCTTTAGCGACTTTCAGTGATATGACTTGCGTTTTTTTAAAATTGTAGTTTATTATTGTATAAAATAATATACTTCAAATTATGAAATATCGACTAATTTAAGAGAATATTTTTAACACTCTCCCCTCTTAATAATTATTTAAAACTTTTTGACAAAAAATTTAAATAATAATTATGGATCTATAACTCCATGTTAAACATTATCACGTGAAGGGAAAAATTAACAGATTATTTATTTAACTTTTATTTTTTTATATATATAAAATAATATAATATTATTTTGAAAATAGCAATTTATTTGTAATGTAAGTAAAGTAAACTGGAAACTGGTTTGGCATGGCATGATTGAATTTCTGAAAATTACATAACCGAATAAGGCATTAACAGACAAATTGTTATAAAATACTAGAAAATGCAACATCTGATAGAAAAGCATCTGATTATTACAATTGCAGTTCTGAGTATAGAATTTTTGATTTATTTTCTTTTGGATATTTTATGTGTTTAATTTTTGTGTGTTAAAAATCATTAACAGTGGTGGTAACAATCAAAATGATCCTATTATAATGTATGATTTACAGTTGACGCGAAGGTCGCGAAAGAAAACACCTGACCGAAGCAAACGTTTCGAACGAAACAAAGTTTGTTAATAATGCAAGCGGTGCGAAGCGATTCACTTTTCGTTCGAAACGAAGTCCAAAAACTGTCCGTTCATAATAGAAATGTGTTAAAATTCTCTGCGATCCGGGCTCTGAAAAATTAAAGTTTCTTAAAATCAAGTAAAGATTACGTTAAAGCATTTACTGTTTTAGAGAACGCTAAAAAAAAAAAAGAAAAAAGAAAAAACACTAAATTTGTTCTGAAGTTCTAGCAACAACATATGAATTCTCTTCATATTATATTTAACATCGTATTTGATTAAAAACACTTTTCTGAAAAGTGATGGATATTAAGCCAAATATTTTGCCAGATTCGGTATCATCACCATTGATACTATAAAATTCAGTGAAAACGCTCGTTTGAAGCAAAAATATATATTTTTTTCTTTGATCAATATTGATTGCTTACAGAAAATAGTAGGAAAATCGTCATTATTATTCCATTCACAAAACTGTAATAAATAATATAAACCTGATAAATGCAAAAAATAATATTTTCTAAGCAAAAATAAACAGTTATTATTGGCCAGATTGCGTATTTCCTGCCAATAGTAGCTGCGAATAGTTGCTATGATATCGTCACACATCATCTTTATATACGCATTTTCATACTTATAACCAGAAAGGTAAGTCAAAATAAAATTGAGTATTTTTAATGCTTTAGTTTTTAATTTTCTTCTATTTTAATTTATAACACTACAATACTGTTGATAAAAGAGTTGTTCTGACTTTCCAGTTATTTGGTAAATTTTAATACTAAATGTAAATTTTTCATTAGCAAATAATATAATGAAAAATATTTTCTTACTTGGCAGTCTTGAAAATTCAGATATTTTTGAAAGTCTAAACAAGTGTATTTAACATAATATTACAGATTTCTCAGATGATATTGTTCAAAAGTAGATGATAATTATAGAAACACTCTTAAAGTAACAGATAATTTCCGCTAATGTAAGTTTCTTAAAACATGAATGTGGTGAGCCTTTGTCATTCAATCCTACTGATGTTTAGATCTAACATTAAGCAGGCAAACACGAACAGTAACAAAAAAGAACTTTATTAGAAAAGGTTAGAACTGTCACAGACATCCTCGGGCAACACCCGGACAAAATCCAACGAACTTTCGCGCCTTTTCTTTTTTGACGTTGCCAGCCACTCTTGTTGGCAAGTGTTGCCAGACAGAGTTCGTGATCTTGGCAAGTGTTGCCAGACAGTGTTCAGGATCTCTGGCGCTGGCGGCCACAGCTACTCCCCCACCAGTGTCTGAGACACGAAACGAACGGGAAACGATACATGTCGGCCAGAGCGCGTGGTAGTTTGTCGCGTTGGGGCTCGATCTTCTGTCGTATGTTTAGTCGTCGCTGGTCTTGGCATTGGAGACGTTGGGGGTAACTGGTCCGACTCGCTCGCTGCGAGAATAAAAGCCGGTTTCAGGCGATCAATAGAAACTACAGTTTCTTTTCCCTTTATGCATAGAGTGAATGTCTTGCTACCGCGTGACACGACTTCGTAGGGTCCATCGTATGGAGGCTGCAAGGGCTTCCGTACAGCATCATTGCGGAGAAATACGTGGGAACATGAGTGCAGTTCTTTGTGGATAAATGGGTTGCGATAGGAGTGGTGCACAACAGGCACTGGTTTTAAGTTCGCCATCATCGTTCTGAGTTTTTCGACGAAAGAACATGGATTGATGTCCTGAGAACCTGGGACGAAAAATTCTCCAGGCAATCGGAGGCTGGTGCCATAGATCATTTCAGCTGCAGTAATATTGGTGTCTTCACGAAGCGCAGTTCGCAATCCTAACAAGACTGTAGGTAGTACTTCCGTCCACCTGTCAGTAGAGTGGCATTTGATGGCAGTTTTAAGTGAACGATGAAAGCGTTCAACAATGCCATTCGCAATTGGGTGGTATGCTGTTGTCCTAACTCTTTTGGCACCAAGAAGTTGAGTGAGGGATTTGAATAGGCTAGACTCGAATTGACGTCCTTGGTCAGATGTTATTTGGGCAGGCACTCCAAAGCGAGATATCCAACCTGAATATAAGGCTGAAGCTACTGTTTCAGCCGCTATATCTGGCAACGGGATTGCCTCAGGCCAACGAGAAAATCTATCGATGATTGTGAGGCAGTATGTTGAGCCGTTGGAAGGTGGCAATGGACCAACAATATCAATATGAATGTTTAAAAATCTAGCGTCTGGAATAGGAAAGGTTCCCAAAGGGCTAGCGACATGTCTCTGGATTTTCGACCGCTGACAAGAAATGCAGGTGCGAGACCATGTCTGGCAGTCTTTACTGATGGACGGCCAAACAAATTTTGCTTTTACCAATCTGGTTGAGCCCCTTACACCTGGATGGGACAGGTTATGGACAGTGTTGAAAGCAGTGCGACGATAATTAGGTGGAATGTATGGACGAATGCGACCTGTCGATACATCACAGTAAATTTCGACATCACTATCAGGAAGTTTAAACTTCTTAAGTACAAGTGATGAGTCACTTGAAGTCAGGAGAGACTGGAGCTCAGGATCTTGCTGTTGGTCTTTTGCAATTTTGCTATAATCTATAGATGGGCTACTAATTGATTCAATACGGGAGAGAGCATCAGCTGGAACATTATCGATTCCCTTTATGTGTCTGATGTCTGTCGAGAATTGTCCTATAAAGTCGAGATGTCTCAACTGACGGGGTGTACATTTGTCGTGTCGTTGCTGGAAAGCAAACGTCAATGGTTTATGGTCTGTGTAAATGGTGAACTGTCGTGCTTCCAGCATAAATCGGAAATGTTTCACAGCCAAATACACAGCCAGAAGTTCTCGGTCGTATGCAGAATACTGACGCTGAGAGTTACTCAGCTTGCGGGAAAAGAACGCCAGTGGCTGGAGACCTTGTGCTGTAACTTGATGAAGGGCAGCGCCCACAGCAGAATCAGATGCATCGACGTGAAGTGCAAGGGTAGCACTTGGTGAAGGATGGTGTAGTAAGGTGGCTTCTGCTAATTGTGATTTACATGACTCAAATGCCTGAATAGAATTGTCAGTCCATTTAATCTCACGTTGGTCGTTTTTCTTTGCTCCTTTAAGTAGGTCGTGCAAAGGAGCTTGGTGATGGGCCGCATTGGGTAGGAACCTACGATAGAAGTTCAAGATGCCCAAGAACCTTCTCAGTTGTTTGAGGGTCTGTGGTCGCTTCTGTTGAGTTACGGCAGATACACGTTCCGGAAGTGGCATAATGCCGTGGGGAGACACCATGTATCCTAAGAATGATACATGTGAGGCAGCAAAAGTACACTTGGATGCATTGATTTGCAGACCGTACTTGTCTAGGCGTTGAAACACTTGCCGCATGTGCATCTTATGTTCCTCCCACGAAGTGCTAGCGATGAGGATGTCATCTAGGTATGAAAAGCAGAAGTTTAGGCCTCGCAGAACTTCATGCATGAATCGTTGAAATGATTGGGCTGCATTGCAGAGACCAAAAGGGAGGAAAATGAATTCAAATAGCCCAAATGGCGTCGTAATGGCTGTCTTTGGCACATCATCTGGGTTAACTGGTATATGATGGAAGGCCCTAACCAAATCGATCTTGGAAAATATTCGAGCTCCGTGTAGATTTTGACCAAAATCGTGGATGTGTGGCACTGGATAGTGATCGGGAACAGTTATCCTATTCAGGGCACGGTAGTCTCCCGTAGGTCTCCAATCGTTACGGCCCTTCGGCACCATATGGAGGGGAGAAGCCCAGTTGGACTTTGATGGTCTGCATATACCTAGCTCCATCATGTGCTGGAATTCTTGCTTTGCTACTTGCAGTTGAGCCGGGTGCAATCTACGAGGTTTAGCAAATACGGGTGGACCGTGTGTCTCGATATAATGCACTGTGTTGTGCCTGACCTTATCTGAAAACGGTCGAGGACGAGTGAGATGTGGAAAGTCCTTGAGGATATCCTGCATTGGGGAATTGCTGATTATAGTTTTGACTGAAGTAGGTGGTCCTGTATAATATCTTCCTCGTGTAGTAAGGGAAGTCAGGGGGTCAACCAGTAATCTGTTTCTGATGTCGAGAATGAGTCCAAAGTTGGCCAAAAAGTCTGCACCGATTATAGGCTTCTGCACATCAGCTATGGTGAATTCCCATCTGAAAGAACGTCTTAAGTTGAGGTCAAGTTCTAGCACTTTTGTTCCATACGTCGAGATTTTAGAGTCGTTGGCAGCATACAATTCAACCTTTGTAGGCTGATTCTTAGTGCGGTTGGGAATGATCGATAAATCTGCTCCAGAATCAATTAAGAAATTTAGGCCAGTTTTGTTGTCATACACAAACAAACGGCTATATTTAGGAGCCAGACTGGACCCACAGGCCGTTACTGCGGCTGGCTGCTCTCGTTTCCCTGATCAGCAGTTCGATTAAAGGAACACGGCGAACGACATTTCCAAGCAGCTGATCCAAACTTACTGTGGTAGTAACAATATCCCTGACGACTGAGGCTTCTTCCCCGAGAGCGTGAACTAACGCGGTGCCTCGAATTCGGGTTATGTCGGTTTCTCTCTCTACTACGATAACGGGGACGAGCAGTACGCGATACATTAAGTTCTGCAACCTTCTTTGTGAGTTCTAAAATCTGCAGTTCAAGGTTTTTGATTACGGGATTTTCGTCTTTCAAGTTGATGCTGGCCAGTTGGGTTGGTTCTGTAAGTTCAGCAACCTTGTCAGCAAGGATGGCTAGCTTGTCTAGTTCATCACTGCTAACAGCCAATACGGTCTGAATATTTTTGGGGAGACGTTGGAGCCACAAGTTTCTAAGAAATTCTTCGGTAATTTTGCCCGCTGAAAGCTCCCTCATTTTACGGAGTAAAACGCTGGGTTTCTGATCCCCTAACGCCAGATCTTCAAGCAGAATTTTAGCCTCTTTAGCAGCGGAGTTCTGGAAAATTTCGAGGAGTCGATCTTTAAGTTTAGAAAACGGAGCCTCGGCTGGACGGTCAAATACTAAGTCACTAACATTAGATAGAATCTCCGCGTCCAGGGAATTGATTAAATAGTTGTACTTAGTGTTCTCACTTGTAATCCGATTAATGGCAAAAGCCGCGTCTAGCTGCACAAAAAATAATTTGATGTTGGTTTTAGTAAAGATAGGCATTTTTGCCTGTACACGTCCGATTTCCAACTCGTTCTGTTCCGCCATTCCGGGCGCTTAACTATGCGGCTACAAAGAAAGCGGGATAGTCTTGGATAAAGCTTAGCCTGAGTCACGTACTCCTAGTCTTCGGTAAGATTTACCCACCGTCTTCCTATCGAATTTACGATTTAGAAACTGATCATACCTGCATATCCTGTTAAAAAAGTTCCATCATAGACACAGAGTTGTTCGCTATCCAATTCAGTCGAAAGTCCAGGTAGTTCATTAATCGGATCACGTTCGGGTCACCACTTTGTCATTCAATCCTACTGATGTTTAGATCTAACATTAAGCAGGCAAACACGAACAGTAACAAAAAAGAACTTTATTAGAAAAGGTTAGAACTGTCACAGACATCCTCGGGCAACACCCGGACAAAATCCAACGAACTTTTTCGCCTTTTCTTTTTTTGACGTTGCCCGCCACTCTTGTTGGCAAGTGTTGCCAGGCAGAGTTCATGATCTTGGCAAGTGTTGCCAACCAGTGTTCAGGATCTCTGGCGCTCGCGGCCACAAGCCATTTTTAAGGTTTTGTCTGAAGCAGTTTAAAATTTTGTAGGTTCTAGGGAGGACGTGAATTTTTCGTCCTGCCAAGTTCAACATCATAACCGACGAAAAGTGAAAAAATATTTAAAACAACCACATGTAACTCCTGCGGCCTACAAATTCTAGCAACCACTTGAATCACGCGTAATAACGAGTAAAATCGGCTTTAAGATCGACTCTACAAGAGACACACACCATTATTTTCATTTTTTTTACCACTTCGACCTACACCCACCAAAATTCAATAGCATCACTAACTCTAACCCAAACATATCACTGCAAAGGTTCAAAAAATTTCTACACAGGCAAGACAGTTATTCAGCTTCAAATAAAATAAACAGAATTGTTCCATACACACTAACATCCATACATACAGAAATTACACCGGAACTTTTTGCGTTTTAATGTATTCCGTTGAACTAATTTTGAAACTATTCCGTTTCACTATGTCCTGAGTCCAAAAATGTACAAATCTGAAAGGGATAATTTTTTATCGATTGCCATATTTTCCCTATGTTATATATAACAGCCGGGGAAGTAAAAATGCGATAATCATAAAAATATTTAATATATTTTTATACACTTCAGTATTAATTTTTAAATGATGTAAAAGTAATATTACTAATATTTTATAAGTTACCTGTAGCGTGAGAAGCGGAGTGCTCAGGGGTTAGAAGTTCTAAACCCTTCGTTCGACATCGAGGATGATAAATCCTCGCTCAAGCATCACTGGATGGCGGGACCCGAGTGACAACGGGGTGGATTAGACGATAAGATGTCCGTTCTACGCAATAAGACAGGTTGACAAGATAACAAATAACAAATATTTAATGGACTAATATAAAGCATATAATGCAGTAAGCTAACATCCCGGCCCTATTCGGATGGATATGCCGATATTTGCTTTTTATAGTCTATACGACTGTCTTAAATAGACACTAACGCCTTATCTATACAGCTAACTTAGATTCTAAGTCAGAGAAAGAGTTTACATAAATCTTCAAAGTTAATACCTTATGATGACACTACATAGCTCCTAGATTCTTGTATACGGTGTCGGTTGGACGTCGGAGATCTAAGGCTGTGCGTCAGGAGGAGACAAACTTGGCAATGTAGTTATTGGTGGGTGGAACGTCATGTATGGTTCCTCGAAATTGATTCCTCGATTATGGCGGGACGGGCCCACTTATGTCTTCGAGCATCGATGACCAATTGTGACCCCTCATTATACGCGTTCCGCGTCAGACGTGTCTCAGGTGTTCATGGTTTAATGTGGTCTAAGTTCGAGTTGGGGCCGGGTTCTGTTGATATACGAAATGTCGCGATTCAGAAGGTTTGGTCGGATTGTTGATACTTTACTTCGGTGTTACGACTGTCCTTATCTTACAGTTTCGTCTATTTGACAGTTTCCCACCATTAATAATTCACTGTTTTGAGTAAGGTCATAACATAATTCCAAACATCGCAATAGTCGTTGACTTAGAGAAATATTTGATCAGTTTTAACTATCATAATATCGCATGTGGGTGAGAAAAACAAAGTAAGGTTTCTCACTTGTATTCCGTTATAACCAATTAATTTAATTACTTAATTATCCCCCTTTAGAATCTCACAGTAGTCTTTTTCGTTGTTAAGAACAGAGAAAACACTTGATAATAGAATACAACTTTTAGACAAAAAATTAAAATACTCACCTAACTGAAAGTTTAGTGTAAATTTTTTCATTAACAACAGAGAGTACAAAACTTTTTTTGACACTGCATATACAATGTATATGTATATTTATTAATTAAACCCCTTCATCAGACGAATTAACATAAAGGTTTTTTGTTACAAATGGAAATGAAATAATGACAAAAAATAGAATAACACTTGGACTGTGACAAAAAATTAGAATATTAGCAGAAACAGCCAGACAAACAGTCATTAATAACTAAATTGTGATGCAAATTTGCATATTGCTAACACACACCAGAAAAGTTGACATAAGCAAGCAACGACTGCGAGGTGTGAGAGAAAGTTGAGAAAGTTTCTTGTGCGAAACCGCTTTAAAAGAGTTAATGAACGGTACCAAACTTTTAAAGAGGAACTTGTGACGTGCATTCGACACATTTGGAACTGCACCACTAAGAAAGGATGTTAAGCATTAATTCGCACAATGCCTGACAGATTGCAAGCAGTGATTATGGCAAACGGCGACGTCACAAAAATATTAGAAATATTTTGTTATATTTGCTGTACAGTAATACCTCGACTTACGCTACCCCGACTTACGCGAACCCGGAGTTAGGCGATTTCAAATCTCGTCGATTCCTCTTTTGTTTGAGCGCCACGCAACTCTTGATTACTCACTCCCCTCACACTATTGTTCGGCTTACATGTTCGGACGTGTCGCGCGGAATCGACACATAGCTACAATTTATTTTGTGTTATTTATTTCTGTGTTTGTTATATCTAGGGAGACACGAGAGACTCTATGTGGTGATTTCTTGTAGCCTAATAGAATCTGTGGGGTGTATGGGGTTCTTAGAGGGGTAGTAACTTTCGAAAGTGTCAGCCGCACTGAAAGAGTGGACACCGTAGACTGTTCCCCATGAGGACCCAACTCTCATTTATGGCTCCAAGTAGTTGGTAGTGCATGCCAACGGCCACACCCTGGGAAACCGCCTCGGCTGGTGGGCTAAACTAAGTGAGGGTATCAGTAGTGCCATCTGCTACTGGTAGTTAGGGTGTGCCACTCTATAGTGCACGAAATCTGGAATGGCCAAAGCAGCAGAAGAATCTACTATCAAAGATCAATGGTGTAATGGGCATGACAGCAAAGTAGGTGACATACCAAGGGCACATTCATGGCATACAAAGTGAAATGTGGCCAGTCACCGTGGAAGAGATTGGAGCCTCACCACGTATTCTCCACCATAGTAAACCATGAGAACCGCTACCACTAAAAGAATCAGTTATAGAGACAAGGTCGAGCCCCCTGCGAACTGTGTCTCTAATGTATGCTACAGGGAAGAGGAGTCATGTCCTGAGAATAGTAAGTTTGACTCTAATATTAGAGAATATGAAGAGACCATCTTAACCCCACTTGGGAGGATGATATCAGAAGTCCCCAAACTGAAGACCAGGAATGTACTACTTAACATAGGAACTTGGAATGTTAGAACACTGTATGAACTAGGAAAACTTGATAATCTCATTCAAGAAATAAAGTCAATGAGGCTAGATGTTATGGGTATTTGTGAAACAAGATGGACAGGCACAGGAATGATTTACAAGAATGAATATACAATGATGTACTCAGGAGTAGAGACACATGTAAATGGAGTAGCCATCATTATGAAGAATAGTATAGCAAGATCAATAAAAGGCTTCACTGCAGTCAATGATAGAATCATTGCAGTAAAGATAGCTGCTCAACCTTTAGACATTCTCCTAATCCAGGTTTATGCTCCCACAGCTGGACATGAGGAAGAAGATGTTGAGATATTCTACGAAAATCTGAAGGAATCGGTGGAAATGGCAAAATCAAATGATATAATCATAGTTATGGGCGATTTTAACGCAAAAGTGGGCAATGAGAAGATATCGGAATGCATGGGCCAATATGGACTTGGTAAGAGAAATAAAAGAGGAGATAGACTCATTCAGTTTTGTGAGGAAAATAAGTTGATAATCACCAACACCCTGTTTAAACATCCAGCAAGAAGAGTGTATACATGGAAAAGTCCAGGGGACATATACAGGAATCAAATAGACTTCATTTTGATAAAGGAAAGATTCAGAAATATTATAAAACAAGCCAAGTCATATCCTGGAGCAGATATTAATTCTGACCATAACCCAGTTGTAGTGAAAGCAAAAATTAAACTAAAAACCTGTAAGCAAAAGATTGTATCAAAGAAGTTAAATTCAGCAACACTAAAGGAAGAGAACATAAAAATAAAATTTAATGAAGAATTCAATAGGGAGATCAATAAGAATAAAATAATTAAAGAATATAATCAATCAATAGAGGATATTAATGAAGCATGGAATGCCTTTAAGGCATGTATAAGTAGAGCTGCTAATAATAACATCCCAGAGTACAGTAGGAAAATTAGCAAGCCTTGGATGACTGATGAAATTCTAACAATGATGGAGAATAGGAAAAGTTTGAAAAATAAACCAGGATATAAGAATTTAGCAAGATCTATAAAAAGAGAGTGTAGAAAGGCCAAAGAAGAGTGGCTTAACAAAAAATGCGAAGAAATTGAAAGTTTGGACAAAGAAAATAAAATAAAAGAACTCCATGAAAAAATCAGAGAAGTAACTTTTAAGAAACGGAATTTTCAGGCACATGGTATAAGAGATTTAAACGGGAAAATAGTCTTGGAGACAGAGGAAATAATGAAAAGGTGGTATGAGTATGGAAAGGAATTATTCCAAGGCGACAGGGAGAAGATCGAGTCTCCCAGGGAGTTAGAAGGTCCTCCAATACTCAAATGGGAAGTTGTAAAAGCCATTGGTAAACTTAAACCCAGTAAGGCTGCTGGACCTGACAATATAGAACCAGAATGGATTAAAGCTCTAGATGATGGAGGCATCAAAACCCTGACTAAGTTATGTAACGACATCTATGAACTGGGATACCTTCCTGAAGACTTCAAACAGTCAATATTTGTTCCAATCCCCAAAAAATCAAAAGCAATTAAATGTGAGGAGTTTAGAACCATAAGCCTAATTAGTCATGTGGCAAAGGTTCTAACTTATATCTTGTTAAATAGAAACAAGGAAAGATGGACAGAAGGCATTAGTGAAACACTAATTGGATTGGAATTGCAAGGACTGCATTCACAAACATGAAACAAGTGCTGACTTCAAGGGAAATTAGTATAAAAACAAGAATTAGGTTGGCAAAATGTTATGTTTGGTCAACCCTGCTTTATGGAGCAGAGTGTTGGACAATGAATGCAAGTAATGAAAAGAAATTAAAGGCATTTGAAATGTGGATGATTCGGAGAATGCTGAGAGTTTCTTGGAAGGCAAGAAGAACAAATGAAGATATCCTGGCAATTGCAAACCAGAAAAGGACCTTATTAGAAGTAGTAAGGAAAAGAATTGTGAGATATCTGGGTCATGTTATGCGACACAACAGCCTACAAAAACTATTACTAGAGGGAATGATAGAAGGGCAAAGAGGTAGGGGTAGGCCAAGAAAGAACTGGTTCAGCAACATCAGGAATTGGACATACTTAACGTATGAAGAGTGCTCAAGAGAAGCACAAGATAGGTCATGGTGGCATGAAATGGTTGTCAACCTCCTGACAGGAGAAGACACATAAAGAAGAAGANCATAGAAAGGGAGTGTTGAATTTCAGAGGTAATGCAGTGTTTAGTACATATGTGAAAAACATGAGATTTGGCTCTCCTGTGGTCACCATTAGCTAAATCTTTGATTCAGCACACATCGAGATTGCTTCATGTTGGATTCTTCGTAATAAAATAATATACCACTGTATTATAAAGACTCGATGTATGAGTGCTTTCAAGTAACAAAATAGGTGATCAAAAAGTCCATATGAAAAGCCCTCCCCCCACACACATGATGACAGAAGGGCCATAAATCCCGAGAGGGAGAGAGTGTGAACTAGCGGTCCCTGAGAGTGGAATAAGGTTTTTTTTCCTGTCGGCTGCGCCAATGTAGGTAACCCGTTCTTAATCAGAGGATTTCGCCTCGTCGGTTCGTTTCACAAATTAACCAGTCCAATATTTCCACAAAAAAAACTTTATTCCAGTTTATTCCAAAAAAACTTTATCCTAAGAGGAAGGGCGAGGAGGTCCGCTATCACTACAATCTTTGTTTTTGTTACTTTATACCAGAGCAACGCCGTGCTCATCTGCTAGTATTTTTATATTTAAACATTTATATATATATAATAAAAATAACTAATAAATATATAGAATATGCCTACAGCTAAAAATACTAAAAGAGTTTTTGAAATTTTTTCCGCGGGAGAGTAGGTTCATAGCAGCTTTTATGACAAACATTGATGAAATTACAAGTCTCACTGGAGTCCTACTGTAATTCTCACACCTAAATATGCGGCATACATGAAGGCAATACTCAGACAAATAGCAGGATAAAATAATGACAAAAAATAGAATAACACTTGGACTGTGACCAAAAATTAGAATACTAGCAGAAACAGCCAGACAAACATCATTAATAACTAAATTGTGATGCAAATTTGCATAATGCTAACACACACTAGAAAAGTTGACATAAGCAAGCAACGACTGCGAGGTATGAGAGAAAATTGAGAAAGTTTGTTGTGTGAAACCGCTTTAAAAGAGTTAATGAACGGTACCAAACTTCTAAAGAGGAACTTGTGACGTGCATTCGACACATTTGGAACTGCACCACTAAGAACGAATGTGAAGCATTAATTCGCATCATGCCTGACAGATTGCAAGCAGTGTCGTGAATAAGAAAATGCACTAAACTTTCATATCTTAAATTGAATATCTTAATTTTTAATAGCAATTGTACAGTTACGTTTGTATGTAATAGAATCTGTATAATGCAGAAACGTTATTTAATTTTTCATTATTATAATTTACTTCATTTTATTAAAAATATCGAAAGAAACACGTTGTTTTCTGTACAAATATCGTTTTATATAAATCTCATTGTATATTACACTTGTAATCTGTTGAATAGAAGAATTGATCTGTACGTGCAGATCAATTCTTCTATTGTCATCAATTCTTCATCAATTGTCTCATATAGCTCATGATCTAATACCTTACGTATACCAGAACATCGCGTGAATTTGTCGTCAGAGAGGACAGACATTGAACTTCATCTAGGCTCTATCCAAAATGAAGTCATGCACTATTATTTTTTTCATTTAAATGACTATAACTCGTTAATAATTATTGAGAAAATATAGACAGGGTGATTATAATTAAAGTTTCACTTTGAAATGGCCATAAAATGAAAACTACAAAACAAAATGTTTTCAAACTTCATGGTAGTGTACAAGATGTAATGGGAGTTTTTTCCGCAGAAAAAAATAGTTCAAAAACTCGACATCATCAGAAAAATGTTTTTAATCGGTTTTAAAACGAAACTGTTTGTGGGGTTACTCCTGATATGCTAAAAGCTACTGTTGATAACACAGTAATGCGATGTAACTTGCTTATCAAGAATGGTGGACACCACATTGAACATGATCTGTAACGCGTTTTAAACCGATTAAAAGCATTTTCACCGATGTCTTCATGTCTTATTTCGTTTAACAATATTGCATACAGCTTCATTTTTCCGTTTATGGTGAGTTTTTTAACTTTTTTTCGCAGGAAATAAAATCCCATGATGTCCTGTACACTATTACCAAGTTTTATAACATTTTGTCCAGTAGTTTTCATTTTATGGCCATTTAAAAGTGGAACTTTAATTATAATCACCCTGTACTTATCACATATTCCATTTTATCCATACAGTAGAAAGGTGAAAGTAATATTTATTTTTTAATCTATTTCATAGGATGACACAACAAGCAGATAAGTAAAAAATAAAAACTTAACTTGCATAACTGATCATATATATATATATTTTTTTTTTTCAGATATTTTTGCTTCTCGTTCTCCTAAGACAGATTCAAACTGCGAAATGAAGTTGGATTGTGTAAGAAGAATTTTTTGCTGTATTTTTAAAAAATTAGGAAAAACGGTTGGACGGCATCCATATTACTTTATACTTCTACCAATTATTCTGTCAATTACTCTCTCCATGTTTATCAGAACATTAACTCCCAGTAAGACATTTAACGATATAATAACTTCCGATACAGGAAAATTTTTTACAGTGAAGAAATTCATAAAAAATACATTTTCATTTAACTCATCGCAATTTTCTGATCAGCTAAGAACTCCAGATATAGCGAATTGTCTAGTAATATTCTTGTTGGAAAAAGAGGAAAACAACATGTTTGAAAAAAATATTCTTTCAGAAGTAAAATTAGTCGACGAAATTGTACACAATATAACGTTAGAAACAGACAAAAAGACAATACAATATACAGATCTCTGCACACGTATAAACAAAAAATGCTTTGAAAATCCTATTCTCGAAGTAATATCAGAAGTGGGAATTGATTCCATACTACAAAAGAGAAAAAAGCTGAAGTATCCTGTTGATATAGATTTATTGTCTTTCACTTATAAAGCCTATTTCGTAAATTTAGGGGGTGTTACAGAGGATTATCACAACTTCGTAGAAAAAGTAAATGCCGTTTCTTTATTTTATGTAACTGATGAAAAAAATGAAGTAAAAAACAAGTTGTTTACAAAATGGGCGGCTCATGTTTATGACACAATTCAAAAATATAATTTTACGTATATCAAAGCTGTTCCATATTCTTATCCAGCCATGGAACAAGAGTTTCGAAAAGAATTTGATAGAACGAAACCAAAAATTGGGGGTTTGGTCGCAATTATGATTGTACTTTCGATATTTCTCAATGTGAGCAATAGCTGGGTGAAAAGCAAACCTCTTCTTGGTGTAGCAAGTGTAATTAACGCTGGCCTGGCTGTATCGTCGTCTTTCGGATTAATGGCTGCATCGGGTGTTGAATTCACCTACTGGAATGCTACGATTCCATTCTTAGTTCTTGGTAAGTAAATCAATGTTGCTGCAAATGAACTTTATTCATAACGCTGACATATTAAAAGTTTTGCATGTATTTCAGTTACCGAGATAGATGACGCTTTCGTATTAATAGCATGTTGGAGAATCACTGATCCTAAACATTCAGTTGAAAAACGCATGGAAGTAACATATGAAGAAGCAGGAGTTTCCATTATTTTGACTTCACTCACTAATTTTATTTCGTACTGCATTGGGATGATAGCTCCTTTTCCCTTTATTCGAATATTCAGTTATTATACTGCAACTTGTGTCGTTTTGAATTTTGTGTATCAGATAACGTTTTTCGGAGGATGCTTGGCTTTGAGTGGATACAGAGAAGTGCAGAATCTTCGTTCCAGAAAATTTGCCAGATGTGGTAAGTTGAAATTCATTTATAAAGAAAGATGACATTTTACTAAATTAATTATTTTATGTTGAATATATAAGACGATGTTTGAAAAATATCATTAGATTAGAGGAATTATTTTTTATACACTCTTTCTGCCCTGTGGGCAATAAGAGCGCCTTTTGTAGTAAGCCTATTATTGGTTCGGCCAGGCCCACAATGGAATGACCGGGTGTTGAAGGATGGTGCCCTGACATATCCGAACAGACTACCCCCGAAAAATTTCTGGGGATTCCTTGACCCATCTGGACTCGATCCCTGGTAGCTCAGAGTGGTAGGCTGCACCTTGACCTCTCGGCTATCTGGCCTAATTTAAAGGAGTAATATCTGTTATCTGAATTTTTTGTTACATAAATTTAGTTTAGTTAATTCATGTTTTTACATCTGAATTACTGTACATATGAAATGCTAATGTTCAAATGGTCTTGTGAATTATAATACAAAAATTGTAATCTATACTAATATGATATTATAAAGAGGTAATGTTTGTAAGTATGTAAGTTTGTATGCAGCAGGTAATCTCCGAAACTATTCATCCGATTTCAAAAATTCTTTCACCAATATTTAGAATGGAACTTCAGGGTGGACATAAGCTGTATATTATTCCGTTAAACATTCATATAAATTAAAAGATATAATCTAGGTTAAGGCTTTTATGTCCAACAGATGGCGCTACGAGTACGACGCACTAAGTTTGCTTTTCTGTGAAAATGAACTAAAGCAGATCATCTTCTATCTATTTATATTAATAAAAATGTAATGTTCGTTTGTTCCTACTGATTCCTTTGAAATTTTGACACAACGCTGCATTCGAATACACATGTGTTTTCATATAATATACATGTCGAAAATTCAACCCCACTGAAGGGAGATGGTTAGGATTAAGGCTTACGGTAAAGAACTCTGCTGCTATTTATACTATTTTAGATGCGGGTTTTTGATTGCGTTTTAATAGGGTACGTCAAGTGAGTGTACACTAACAAGAAATTTTTCGATATTCCTCCCGCGGGGGGAGAGACAGGATTAAGGCTTACTGTGAAGAACTTGGCTTCTGTGATACTATTTTAGGTGCGGGTTTTTGCGTTTTTTATTGCGTTTTAATAGGTATGTCAAGAGAATGTACAATAAGACGAAATTTTTTAAAAAACTCCCCTTAATGGGGAAATGTTATAAATTTATAATAGATACATTTTGAGACACAACAACGCATGGCGGGGTCTGCTAGTTACTGTATATTTGTGCAGATAAGATGACTTTCAGATAAGACGAGGAATAAATTTTCGTTGGAGTTTTATAGTGTTAGCATATGTCTGTCATATAAGACGACCCCAAGCTATGAACGGCCATCAAACTATCAATTTAGTTTAGATCAGCGATCATAATCTGGACGATAACACTGTATAGCATATACGAAATTATGTCCTATTCGTTATGTTTTGAAAGAAATTCAAATTTTATTTTTTTGCATCTGGCAGCAGGGCCTTGCGATTTTTGCAAACATTCACACTGATTTGGGCAATCGGGTAATGATCTTGACTATTCACAAAAACGTAGTATGCATTAAATACATTGGCAAGTGATTTTTATTTTATAATAGTTTAATTTACATAAATTTCAATCAAATTCTTTTGTTGTCGTATTTGTCTTATAAGAAAATACCAGATTTGAGATTTGCTACAATGTGAAAACAGTAGAAGGCATTTTATTTTTCAGTCGTTTAACGTTTTGATTTTTAATCATTTAGTTTCTATTTTTTATTAATTAATGCATTTATTTATTACCATTTAATCGTTAAGGCATTCAGTTATTTAGTGATTTAAATTTTACTCATTTAGTCATTAGCAAACTTTCCAGGGTGCTTTGTTCTCGGGTGCAATTTCGAATAACCTACTGAAAAAGACAATAAAAATCGGTTTTCAAAAGTGCCAGAAAATAGTTTGAAACGCAACAGAAGATTCATTCTGTGTATAGATGTGAAAATAACCGCAAAGGCTCGTATATATAACGAGCAATTTGTTGAACAATTGTTTAATAAAATTATTTGGTCATGAAATCGATAGTCAAAACTTCTATTTCACCGATTTGACTTCGGTAAAAAATTTTTTTAACGGTTTTTGGTTTTTTTTTTTGCCTTCGGCGGTTTTTTTTTTTGTTTTTTGTTCAGTAGAATTATTCCCCCTACCTTTTTTTCGGTCCCCTCGCAATTTAATAACATTAAAATCGACAATATCGTGTCATATTTGAACACATGCGATACGTTAGCTCCCCTCCTGCTTTAAACCAATACAGTCGACCCCCTATAAAATCATAGATACGTTCCATTCTTTAGGAATCTGTTTTCTTACGAGTCCTTCCAATCACAGCCCGACACGTGTCAAGTTTACGGACTACGGCTGTTTGAAAGGTTTTCTTCCATAAAATTAATCGATTCTAGACTAATTCTACTCAATATTTCCAAAATACGTATAGTTTTTTTGGAAATAATCCGTATAAACTACGCTATAAACAAAAAATTGTAGGATTACTTACCGAGTGTGCACCATTCGACATCGTCATTGTTCAAGCTTTTTTTCGTCTCGGAACAGCTCAGCAATCGTTGTTTATTCAATCAATCATTGATTATTATGGTATAATTTTATACATGTTCTGGTACCGCAGTGAGCATCACCAGACAATGAGGAAACCACAAATCAATAGTGTTACAGATTGTATTGAGCTACAAAAATATCTATATATGAAAAAATATAAATCAGAAAACTAATAATTGTTTGTATGATCACAGTAATAAAATTTGAATATATTGTGAGTATAGGATTATATATACATTAAACAAATGGTAATTATATAGTGGTAACAAAAGAGAGTAATAAATAATAAGTAAAAAAATAATAAAATAAAACAAAAAGTTGGACAGTATGTAGCAGCTTGAGTTCAGAAGCACTGAAGATGCAGAAAGTCACAGCGGCATAGTCTTCACACAAAAGCTTGCCAAAAGTCGATGAGGAGTGCAGGTGTATTCTAGGTTCAGTTCTATGATCAGATCTAAGTTTATATTGATATTTTAGAGACACAAAGGACCATCATGCACCTTCAGCACACGGTAGTGAGCTGTTTAATTAATAAACACAGTTAACAGATAAGTGTAACTCCATCACTCTTCCATCTAGTTTAGTACTGTTATCTTTGAAAGGAAGCTCATATCCCTTCTTAGAGGAGCACCAATTAACAACACGAACTGCATGGGTACAGCTCAGCAAACAACGGCCGATTTCTAATAACTTATTTTTCTGCGAAAACTTCGTTGAACTTTGGAGACATCATTAATATAAATAATTTTAATCGCCGTTGAATAAGAAATGTTTCTTTCACAAGAAATGTATAAAATTACAGTACTGTATTAGACTTACGGTACCTAATTTACATACTGTACAGACGATAGTTAGCGTAAAATCTTCGTAGCGTGGCGCTACGCGGCGGAAAAAAAATATATAATTATAATAAAGTTACAATAAATTAAGTTAATATATAATTATATATACAGTACCTAATTTATATATAATTAATATATAATTATATGTACAGTACCTAATTTATATATAATACTGTACAGACTATAGCAAACTCTCCGTAGTGTGGCACTTGACAGCGGAAAATAGTTCGGCTGCCCGATGACGTTTCACGTAATTATAGGAGTTTTTTTACCTTTTTTACGGATACCGTCGCAATTTTTCGCAGTTTTATAGGAATCGTAATTATAGGAACCGGTTTTATAGGGGGTTTTCTGTATTTCCCTGAAGGGTGCATGAGAACTACCCAGGAAAACGGACTTGAGATGTTCTCAAAGTCAACCAGTTTGTAAACAATGTAGACTGCACGTGTGTAATTTCACGCCTTGTTAAAGGAAAGAATAACAAACCTTACAGCTATATTTCTCAAATAAAAGCATTTATTTTAAATTATTTTAATTTTTTATATAGTTTTTTTGTAAAAACCCTTTTTGGAAGCGTTTTTATTTCGCGGGAATTATTTCCCGGAAATTTTTTGGATGTTAGATTCGCGTTTAAGCGTAAATAATTATTTCACAAAAAAAAATAAATTTTTGTGGATTTCTTAGTTGCATTTGAATCGGAACATGGGTAGCAAAGGAGTTAATGCAGATTGCACGCGAGAGATGGGCACTGAATCCAGATGCTTTTCCATTTGTATTTTCCAATTGTGCATCTAAGTTATGCATATGTCCATTAATAAAACGACGATGTACATCGAGAAACTGTAGAAAAGATAAGAAAAACTTGCAGTGGTCTCTAAGAAAAAACAATTTGATCCCTTGTTGAACGCCTGTGTTACAGTAACCAAACGCACATGTTATATATTTGAATATTTTTGTTTTTAAGGAATTAGGTCTACTTTTCCTAAATACGTCCAGGACAATGATCAGCTGCCCAGTACATATCCAATACTTGTAATCACATTTAATAGATGTACGACGACATGTACAAACTAACGTTAACGTATACATTTTTTCAACACGTGAAATAAATAGTGTATCAGTAAAATAAAATTAAAAGATTAAAAAATTTAAACTTCGGCATAGGTGCACTAAGAAAAAGTGATGGCTTTACCATTTCTGTCAATTTTAATAAATTTTTGTTTATTTGTTATTGAATTTCTACATATTTCGTTCCCATTTTAAGAAGAACTAATAGAAAATAATTTTATTAGTCTTTTAAAATGTGAACGAAATACGTAGAAATTCATAAATGTAAAAAAAATAGTTTTGAATATTTAATGTTTCACAAGAGCTTTCTGTGAAGTAAAAAATTATATTATGAAATGTTAATAATTTTAAAGATGTTAATCATAATACAGACTGTATTAAAACTTTTATAATGAAATTTAAGCAAAACACATTTAAGCCATATAAAAGCTAAAATTGTTTTAATGCAATTATTCACTTTAGCTTATCCAATGAAAGGTTATATATACATAAAAATGCTTAAAGTGTTTCAAAAATTCTATAGATGTTAATAATTTACTGTAGAATAATAAACTTTATGTATTGTGAGTATAATTCGTAACAACTAGAAGATGATAATGATAAAAAATTTTTCAATAAATGACTTGAAATCAATAATCAATACGAACTTAATCATTTCAAATTTGTAAAGTAACTTAGATAACTATATATAACAAAAGTTTAGTAAAATTATTTTTATGCATTTTCTGTATTATTAGTTTTTATTCATCTATTTTAAGCTAACATATATCAAATAAGAATATTAATAGAAAGTTTAGCTCTGTAAAATACAGTTGCTTATGCAATTACTTATTATAGCATTTATTTTACACCGGTACAATGCTTTTCAGCATAACTACTGGCAAACTTGTTTATTATTACTACTTTTAAAAGTGAAAACAATAGGCATTTACAGACCAGATAATCCTTTGACTCTGGTATCGATGACAACACTGACAGATTCTCTCAGATTCTGATAAATATAATTGTGTGTGGATGGAAGATGTTTATTTTAACAAGTAAAATATGCAATGAGTTTACCGAAAACGAATGTGTGTTTTTCTAACTGAGTCAAAGAATGGGGTTAAAAATGAAGTTAAATCTATGAAATGTACAAAGTATGTTGATGCAGTATATTTGCAACGCGAGACAACTTTATAAAAAAAAACAATTTTTCAATGTATAGAAAAATTATTGACGATTGCTATTTTTCGTCTGTAATTTCAGCTGAATAAAATCAGTATTTTTTTTACACAAGACGTTTCTCACATGAAACATTTGTCAGTTACCATCGATACACGTTAACAATGGTTGTTGAAATCACACAAAACGGAGTATCATAGTATTTCACCATGCAGAAATTGTACAGAACAAATAGATACATTTTTGCTTTCGATTTTCGTTTCAATTTTTTGCTTTTTTCATTTTAAGCAATTGGAATTGGAATAAGGAAAATATTGGAAAGAGAAAATTTTTTTTCTATTTCCAATATCCAATATATAAAATTTTCCTTTTATCTTATTCTATTTTCCCTTTTTCCATTCAGAATATTCTGATTTCTTTGCCTACACAGTCATGTAAATAACAATTTGTAACATAAAAAACTGAGCAATCCTAAAAGAAAATTTAGAATAAAGCCTTACTAATTTTACTAAGAGATTAAACAAAGTAATATAGTACTGTATTAAGAAGTGATATTATTTTTGTTGCTGCTTTTAAGTGTTCCTAGTTTTAATCAGTTTTGATACTACCACGTTGACAAATGTCAATTGTTGGCATTTCATCCGTAAAAATAAAATATATTCTACACCAGGGTGGCGAATCTTGATCATGGGTGCCCAAAGTGTCATGTGAAGGAAATTAATGTGGTACAAAACATATCATGTGGGTTTTTCAAAACTTTTTTTTGGTTTTTCGCCTGATCGGCTTTTTTCAATTATCTTCATTACATGTATTCTAATTTAGTCACATTCTACTTCGTTTGTTTGGATATTCTGCACCATCTCCTTTCGCTATTTCTACATAGAGATATCAGCATAAATCGAAATCTATTAATATACGACCTATTGAAAATTTAAGAAAACACTGTAATAAATTTTACATAAAATTTCTGATTGTTCGGTATGTTTTAGTTCATACATAAATTTTAAACTTTTTCATTTCAGAACAAAATGATGATGGGAATAATAACGATGTAGAAGAAGAATTTATTATGGCACATTTTAGAGATTCATTAGGAAAAATAATTTCCAATCGAGCAGTGAAGATAAGTATTATCACAATTTACATTATCAACTTATCATTCGGAATATGGGGCACATTTTACATGGAACATGGTATTAAATATGAACATTTATTTGCAAAAGATTCTCTAATTTCGGAAGCGCATAGGATTACTAATAAGTATTTTAGACGTTATTCGTATCCGTTTCACATAATTATTAATGAAACGTTGGATTACTCGGATACAAAGGTACAACAATCCATAGAAACTTTGTTGAAAAAATTCGAGAAACATCCAAATATCGCTGAGGAAGAATTCACCGTGTCTTGGTTAAAATTCTACAAAGTATTTCAGAAAACTCCGGTAGCAAAATTTTCATTACAAGGGTACGATATGTCAAACAAGCAGGACTTTATCGATGGACTTCACGATGTGTTCTTCAATATCCGAGCTGCTCGATCACTCTCTAATGACGTTGTCTTTAACAGCAACAATACTGATATCATATACAGTAGATTTTTTATTATGGGAAAAAATTTGAATTCGTCACGTGCAGAAAAAGACACACTAAATGATTTATTGAAAATTGCTGAAGAGTACGATACTCCTGTACTGGTATATTGTCTTTTGTCAAGTCTAATCGAGCAAGGAATCATCATTGGACAAATAATTTACCAATTATTTTGGATTACTGCTGTATTAATAACAGCAATTTTTTTATTCTTTGTACCGAATATTTTAGTGGCAATTATTGTTGCAATATCAGTTGTATCTGCAATGGTAGAAACATTAGGTTACATGTCTTTATGGGGCATCAACTTGGATATTATATCAATGATGAGTCTTATTTTGTGTGTGGGATTCAGCTTGAATTATCCTGCTCATATTTCGTACGCTTATGTCATGTCACAATGCAAAAGACCAAACGAAAAATTAAAAGATTCTCTATATCGTATAGGTTTTCCAATACTTCAAGGATCATTGACCACGGGAATAGGAATATTGATTTTATACTCTGATGTATATTTTATGATGGCATTTACAAAAATTGTAATTCTTGTTGCTGTGGAAACGGCTTTTCATGCTTTGTTTTTCATTCCTGTTATTCTTTCAATTATTTATGCCTTTTTTGATATTATATAAATAATTAATTTGTTGTGATGTGGGAAATCATTTCACACTAATTTTTAAAGATTATAGGTAAATATTGTAATATTTGTTTGCATGGAGAACGATGTTACTCGAAAGGACGTAACTCGAGGTATACCTGTATATAGCCTAGTAGTCGTGTATTAATTTCTTTTGTGATAGATTTATGTTTTTATTTTTAATTCATTCATATGCATAAATAATTGTTGACAAAGAAACAATTAATTACAATCAATGAAACAACTCCAGGTGACAATTTTGAATTTAATGCAGAAAACGAAAATATTTTCATATGATTATTAGATTATTTAAAAAAAAATTGTAACTTACTTAAATAATCTAATTCACACCAGGTCAGACCAGTTATAGAGGCAGAATGTTTCGTTTGTCTTGGCCAAGCCAAGTGAACGTGTTCTAAACGCGTTTGCGATAGTGTGCTGCAAACTATTTAAAACGTGAGATTAATTTTTCTATAAAAAGCATCATTATGCAACTTAGACTTATTAAATTTTGGGTATTGTTAATTGGCTACTGTTTAAGCATATCAAGCGATAAGGCTTGTAGCTATTGTAATAAAGTAGAAGAGAGTATTTTGATTTACTTGTTTAGTTCTTGTCAGGTGACATACCAATTAAAATGCTTTGTTTTTTGTTTTAGGTATAATCAATTAAAAAGTGAAGATTTGTCTAAATTACTTTAATTAAAATTTTAATTTTCTTTATCAGATCTTTTATGTTAAGTTATAACCATGTATACTAAATAACACTGTATAACGAAATTTTTTTCTCTTTGTTGTAAGAATAATTTTATTCAATAAACAATTTGAATTTCAATATGTCAAATATTTTGCTATAATTCATTGAACCTTTTTAGAAAGACTTAGGAGACCATTACAAAAGCTTTTTTTGCAAATTCTAAATGTTTTTAGACTGAAGTAAATAGTGAAAATTAGAAGAAATATACGAGCATATAAGTTGTTAGAATATTGTATTAAATATAATTAATTTTTAATGAGTAATTCACGACACCATAGTTTTTACATTTTTGTTTTACAAAGCTTAATTTAAAAATTGCTATTAGATAAAAAATGTTGATCTTTACATTTCTTGTTTTATCGTTAATTCTTTACACAAACAGAAACACAAGGACGATCACAATAAATTTATTGATAACGTGGAATTATTTATTGTGACATCGTCACAACGCTAGGCAATGATTTTTAATAATACAGTAGAGCGTCGTTTATCCGAAACGTCGGTTATCCGAAAGAATTCCAGTCGGCCTAAAGTATAATTTTTATTTGTTCTTATATTTTTCAATGTATTTATTTCGTGTGTAAAACATAAAGAAATCATTTTTAACGATACAATAGCCACGATTATTATTTTAAAAGGTTTACGTTAGGCTTAACATCGACGAAAATTCAACGCGCAGCGACACGCAATGGAGAAAAATTTCAACACCGGATAGGTTAATATATTTTACGTACATAATCTGTTATCCGAAAAATAAGTTATCTGAACAACCCCAGTCCCCAATTGATTCGGATAAACGACGCTCTACTGTATTTCTAATCTAATATATAATCGAGACCAGTTGATGATAGTAATAATAATAATAATTATAATTATAATAATAACTTTCCCGTGGTCACCACCTGGTCGTGGTGGGAGAGCCCAGTAGTTTTACAGATCCTTAGGGCAATGCAGGCTGTAGCACAAGCTCCTGGTAGGGACACCCATGCCAGTAAGGTCTATGGGGAGAAATGAAGCTAAGAGTGACCACACACCCACATTCTGTGGAGA